CACTTATTTGTAATCCAGGACCATATATTGGAATGGAATCTGGGCCTGTCGTATGCAAATAAAGTTGCTGCATTTCCTTATAAAGGCGATATTTGGGCATAGATGACCTGTCTTAATTGTGTAAGACCACCTTTTTGGATCTGACTGCATCCAAATTAACAAACAATGAAAGAGTAGTTCACGTTAGTCTTTCCAAGGCAAATGCATTTTAGCAAGGTTGTGAGAAACAATTAACAAGTCTACTCTGGTATTCGTGACCTTAGAAAGCTAGAGTGTTAATAAAGGCTGAAATTTGTATTTAAGCACTGAGAAACGTCTTATTTACTTTACAAATTGCATGCTCTGGAAAAAAAATCACATCTTTTTCTTGATTCGGCATAGCGAAATCATTTGGAGAGAAAATATTAAGTTTAAGGATTATGACACCTACATATTTTTGTTTAAAACTTATAATCTGCTTAACATTCAGAACAGGTAACAATGATTTAGTAGGTCGAGTCATTTCGAGTAAAATGATTCTACAATTATAGCTACTTGTCGTAGAATAGCGCATTTAAATTTATTTGAAATTATACTTTTACTGGCTTTTTATGAGTAAAGCATAAGCTTTTTGTTGTGAGTACACGAGCAAGAAAATGGCAGTTATTCTTAAAAATTTTAAATAAATTGGTTTTAGATTTTCATTCTTAGGGCACTTTATGCAAGAGATATAGGATGAATCATGAGCGCCTGAATTAGTCACATGTGAGATTTCGACATAGATTACCACTTTAATATGCTTATCTTCTTTTAGTATATTATTTATTGTTGTTCTACACAAATTCAGAGCTATGCGGAATTTTTAAAAATGGTGAAGTCTTAATATAAGTAGGTTGAAAAAGTATACATTTTGCAATTAGTCTAGGTTACAGATTTTACATATATTGGTTTCATTTGCCTTCAGCTTACTTAGTTTTGGAAAGCAAAGAAAATCAGAACTTTAATTTTTTTAAAGTGTTGCTTTCATTCTAAACCGTGAATAAAAATGCACCTGAATTATAGGCTTCTAACTGCCTTAAGTTGACACTGATTGGTACATCTCCTTCGCTCCTGCTTGCATCGATTCCTTGACAACTTTCGATTTCGTCACCACAACGTCCACTTTCTGGCTCACAGCAATCCTCAACTCTTGTGTAGTCAGAGTCCACCAAAGAAGTTCGTTTATTGCCCTGGCAACCGGTGATGGCAAAACCTCCCAGCGTTTCATAATGGTCGAACTTTGCCCCTTTGCTGGCGAGATGCCTCGACTCCAAATTAAACTGAGGCCTCATTCCAGAAGATGTAGATGTCGAAATGTTGTCTTCCTCTTCCGTACAATGCATACTATATGTTAACTGGCAGCTACATCTCCCAGTATCTACGACGTGTGGGTCTTCTTGAGGCCCTCTAGGAAGACAAGCCAACCACGCTGGCTTATGACATTCACTTTCGGTTGCCAGCAGGTCGCCGGCAATTGCTAGACTAGCTGCTACAGCCTGACGAAGTATGCTTGCCACCTGTTCAGGACCTAGACCACGAACATTAACTTCACCAATATAAACGAGGCGATCACCAACCCGTAAACGACCATTCTGATAAAAAAAACGCAAAATGTGCAAAAGGGCATGATTAATTAAAGGAAATCAGTTTAAATAACAACAGATCTGGTAGCAAATGCTGCTTTAGAGATTACGTATAAATTTAATTATATTAAGCATCTTGAGACATATTTTAATTTGTTAGTATATCGTGATCTTTCATGTGGGTCTGTATTCCCTCTGGCAGACATGTGTAGGAGAATAGTTGACAACCTTATGGCATCTTCAACTAGGCTCGGTATCAAATAATTAAAGGAGCGAAAAATAGTATGTCCATAAGCCCCTGATAGCTTGGCATAAAACACTGCACATGATTACTATTATTAATGATTTGTAATGGAATAAGTTTTATTACAATTCTATATAGTTTTTTGCGGTATCACAAGTAACCAGAACGAACTTTGCATGTAAGGTGATTCACGATCGTAGAATAAGCTATACCACTTGAGCAACTGTAGCTCATATTGTTGGGATAGTATTTACTAAAGATATATTTTGATACCTCTTCAATGTTGCTTATCAAAAGACCAAAATTTAAGGCCAGCACAAGGCGAAAAACTATTAAAATATCTTTCCTTGCTATGAATCTTTAGAAACGATAAAATCATTCAAAATTTAAAAGATGGAGGATGATACCTTCGGATCTATGAAATTGTATAGTTTTATGTTACATTTTATCGTGAGTGATATAAACGTAAATTCAAGATGGTGTCCTAGCATCGCGTCTGACATTCAAATACCTTCTGCTGAGAAACTGAAACTGGACTGAAATTGGACAATCGATCTCAACTAGGGGCAACGTTATGAGTAGTAAATTGCAGACAAAACGACTTTCCATGAATGACTACAGAAAGTTCCGCCTTAACGAAGTATTGAATATAAATCTGAAAATATTATTTAACGAAACAGCCAGAAAATCTTTCAATTAGGGAATAGCGAAAAACACCCAAGTACCTAAGCCACACGTCTCTGCATACCAGCTACAGCATCCTTGCAGACTGACCAATTACTTGTCTCAGAAGTAGGTTACTCTACAGGAATTGTGAATTTGTGTATTCCAATTGTCTCATTAATAAATCCTGGTGTAAAAAAAATATTTTGCTCATTTTAATACATCAGTATTAAAAATTGCAGCAAACCCTTTCACATTTCTAATTAAGTTTTTAACAAGCTTTAATAAGAAAAATGAATAGGCTGAATGATACTGATAATATAAATGTATATATTTCTTAATCTAATAATAAGCAATATATTCATACGAATTTTCAAATAACATCACTCAAGTATATTTATATAGAGATATAGGCAAATACCTGCTTATAACTATCTCAACCGTGATTGAAAGCATAATTAATTAGCATTTTCCTATATGTATCCTGAGTTATATCCGAATCTCTTTGCAAAAAATTTATTATTTTTGTAATTAAACCCTCGATTTAAATTGTGCAAACTATGTCAAATTTCTATTTTTAAAAATAACAAGACAAAATTTCACTATATTTTGTTTAACGTAATAAATGGTCTTCATACCTTCAATTAATATATTCACCGTATTTTGTTTAAGGTTGATTTTGGAAGTAGAATTTTTCCACAATGATATTAGTAGAGTTGACGTTTCCATTGAATTTCGCAGAGCCTTGCTTTTCCAAAATTTGTTTTCATCCAGGGCGGAATGCAGTTTCGACCTCGCATTAGTCTTATCAACACCCCAAGCGGGAGTCAAACCATGACAGTACAGAATGAGAGCTTGACATGTTAACCAATCGACCACATTGCCACGAGTTGCCTTGGGTCACAGGGCAGATGTGAATTTTAAGGAAGGCTAGGTCTTTTCCCATATCATATTCTTTGGTGGGATGGTCGATGAATCGAACGTATTTTCGCTATAACTATAGACTACATTACTTATTTTTAATAAGTAAGTATAATTTCGAGACTACCAGTAAATCAATAATATGATATTTATTCAATCTATTTTGTTTAAGGTGATGAAGGACAAAACGAAAAATAGTTATCTTAACTTTGGGATAGATCGAACTTCAGTTATCTTGTTGTTACTGACAAAAAGCTGTTATTACAGCCTGGCACTTGCTTTATCTAGGTTATCATGCCTGAAATTAAAAACTCTACCTATAAGTATTTTAAAAAGTTACTTTATTTATTGTTAGGCAAGTATTACATTGATTTAATTTAAGTCTCATGCAGTATGCTTAAATTGGAGAGAGAATATAAGATGCAGTTGTGCAGGTATTCAAGACAAATTCCGGTATAGTTAAAGATAAACAATAATTTCGGATAGGAATTTGTCCGATTTGCATACTTTTGGATGCCTGGTAGCTATTTAACGTAAATCCATTCGTATAGCATACTTTTTGTCACAGCTAGACAGTGAATATAACATTCCATTGCACATAGTCAATGTTCTAATGTATAGCATTTCAAAAGCAGAGGATTACTTACTTGGCTGCCACTTAATTGCTATGCTCTCTTCTATATTACAACTTTAATCGAAACAGATCCTATTTTCATGATTTCCTCGAAGCGGGCAATTCAAATTAAGTATTCATTAAGGAGGCTACTAGTTAGAAGTGATAGACTTCTCTGGCCCACAACGAGAGCAAGAGTTTTACTTTTTTTTTGTTCAATGAAATGTGCTACAGTGCTACAAACTTGTACATTAAGTTTCACAACCAATAAATGCATTAGTGAAAATGTTGACTGCGCTTTTGGCCATCAAACTTTGGAAATGAATACGGTCCGCTGATGTATAGCCTTTAATTTGCTCTATTTCATGTGATAAAATGGAATTGACAAGAGAAAAAAATGAAAAATACTGGAGCTGTGTTCACTCTATTTCGTTAAAGGTGATGAAAGATGGGCAACTGAATTTTCAAACTATGATATAAATATAGATGACGTTTCTATTCCAGGTTGAAGTGGACTGCAGTTTCGACCTCGCCTAGGTCTTAAAAACATCCCAAGCAAACCTCGAACAATGACGGGCAGCGTAAAATCGCTACATGTTCACCACTACACCACGTTGCCACGAAGGCCTTAGGGTCACAGATAAGATGCAAATATCAAAAAAGCCTGGAATTTTTCTTAGGAAACTTGTCGCACTGTGTCCGAGCGCTTAATTTGTCATAATTCGACTCCCGCCGGAGGCGTTGATAAGGCGTCCATTCTGGAGAAGAATATCTTTTGGGATAGCAGAGCAATGTTAAATTCAGGGGAAACTTCAGCTACACTCGTATCACTGTGGGAAAATTCAACCAACAGTCCTTTATCACCTTATAAGAAATAAGCAGAACACATCTCATTAATCTGAAACAAAGTATAAAAATACTCGATATAAATGTTTATCGGACACTATAAAACGATTTCTAGAGGAGAACATCTGAGAAGCAGAAGCTAGTAAGGAATAAATGCATACATTTTAGAATATATAATGAACTAGCTTTATAGAACTGCCTCTGTAATCCTTAAAATATCCCAGCAAATTTTTAATATAAAGGCTAGGCTTAAGGAGGATTAGGTAAAACGACGGCCTGATTTTGAATGATATTGCTTTTTCTAAGATCGAGAACATTAAAAGCCGAATCTAGCGAGGTATAAAGAAACTAGTTTCAAGGTCTAAATATGGATTGCACAAATTTCAAAGAATCCTATTGGAGGCGAGAGAGAGGATTTAATCCGATTATCCTGTTGACGAATCTGACTGACCAGTTTATCGTTTCGTATCTAGTCCTGTGGATGCACACTTTAAGTTTACTTCAAGAAAAGTAGCAGGACTAAGGGCTGATATGCGGCAAAAAGAGGTAAATGAGAT